TAGGCACGATTGCATCACCGTTCACTTCTGCTCCAAGTTTGCAGTTTCAATTGTAAACAGTGATAAATCTGCATGATCTAAACGTCTGACTTGGTTTTTTCCCTGCCTAACTGTTTGTTCCATTTGCGCGGGAAAACAGAGAGTGTGAGAGAAAATTGTCGGTGGTCGTGTATGAGTCAATTGTTTGCTTGATCTTATTACTTGGTTGTTTGAGTTTCAGTTCGAGTTCGACAGCAAAAATGGATTTTTTGCCATTACAGATTTAATATCTCTGAAGAAACATCTTGACCAAGGTTTCGGCAAGGAAAAACAAAGCAGTGGGACAGGGCGAAAAGAAGACGGCCAAATCTGAAAAGAAGGAAAGCCTACAAAAAAAGGGTCCCGACAAAACGCCTTCATCTCAACGAAGATTCTTCTGATGAATGTTCATCAGAATAATCTTCTGAGGAGAGTCTTTTTAAGTGCGAAGTCAGTGAAGACTGATCAGTGAACTGATACAACTGTTAAAGCTCCTGTCTGTGATTAATATTGTGCAATTAAAGGAGTGAAATAGGTTGTTTTCTTGAATTCTTAATTTTGCTCTTTCACTTGGAATTTTTTTTGTCCGACCAGACTGTTTCCTTGTCAGATCAGGTCTGGTCTCTGTCCTGACAAATGACCTGCTTACAAAAAAAAATTATTTGCAGCCTTGCAATATGAAGGAAAAAGGTGACTTACAATTTGTTCCTCCACAGATTTCCACTTGTTAGAGTGTCATTGAGGTCCCTGATTTTTCTTTCACGTGGGAAACACCACCAAGCTGTAGGAGGACCCCAGTTAAAGATTTGCTCTGGTAAGTGTAGAACCACGCGGTAGTTTACACTGACAGAGTGATCAAACAAATGAGCATTGAAGAGGGAAACAGAGACTCGAAATAGAAACAAAAAATTTTTAGCCTCAAAGTGTTGCAGAGGGGAAAACATCATCCGGAATGTTGTCTGCCTATATGCCACACTGACAGAAATATCATTTACACTTCAGCAATGTGTAATGAAGTTAATTACTTGGTCTAATTTAGCAGTTTGTTCTCATACCGATACTGCACGAAAAAACAGATTTAAACAGGTTTGCAACAGAAGTAAACATGATGCAAATTTAGCTCTCTAAATTTGACTTAAATTATCACCAGAAGTAATAATGATGCAAACACAGATGTTTATTCCCATTGAAATTGCATGCAAATGCAACGTAAACCTGAAATCTACTTTAGATTTGCTTCGTATTTGATACCTCCGCAAATAAACAAATCCGGTTTACATTTACTCCAGATGTGCTCTCTATAGATTGTATTTAAGCAGGTTTGACGATTGTGTGTCTTTGACCGGTAAAGTTCATATTTGGTTCTACAGGAAACAAGGGCAAATGAGACTTTCCATTGCAATCAAGGGTCAAACGAATCAAGCTGCACCCTCATGTGCTGCTTAATTCGTGCACTGTAAATATAACCTCACAAGAGTTGGATCCAGATGCATTTTGCCTTCAAAGGGCTAGAAAGCCGCAAGATACGACTCACTAGGGGCAAACACGATGTGCCGTGTTAATGGCTGCGACAAGTTCAAGCCATATGGCTTACCTATTCATGGCTGTATTGATG